GCTAATAATTTTTCAATTAAATGAAAAACCAATACATTGATTATTTTTATTTTATTGAACTTTGACCTGATTGTTCTGGTTTATGACCCGTATATATGACCATATGTCTTTATTTGTTGTTGTTGTTGTTGTAGTTATTTCTACATTCAATGATCGGATCATTCATCAATTGATTGATTGATTGATTGATTTGTCTGCGGTTTTATATTCATTCATTCATTTGCTTTTGTTTTTCATTGTTGTTGTTGTTGTTTTTTTTTTTTCATCAGGAATTATCATGTTCAATCATCATGGAATCATCGAATGACATGTTTCTTTCCATGTATAAATTTTGTTATTATGATGACGATGATGACATTACACACACACACACACACACACACACAAATACACACATTAAAAACATTCGAATTGAATGATGAAGAATTTTCGAATGTTAATGATGAATTAATAAAATGAAAAAAAAGAAGAAAAGAAAATAAACCTGTATACAATGATGGACACCTGTCATGGACATTATTATTATCGATATGCGTAAAAGTAATAAACACACGAAATATTGAATTTGTGTGTGTGTGTGTGTGTGTGTGTGTGTGTATTTTTGTTTGAAAACATGGAATTTGGATTGTATTCGAATGTGTACAATATGTATTTTTTTTGAAGGAAACATTCAACGAATACCATTCATATAAGCTGTTACATAACTATTCAATTAAGTGAAAAAAATTTAATTGAATTAAATTCAATTTGATAAAAAAAGAAACAAATAATGAAGAAAGAAAGAAAAAAAAATTCCAGTACATTCACCTCTCACTCATTCATCATTATCATTATAATTAATACCAAGAATCCAATCTGAAAACCAATGACATTTATCGTTGAACATCAACATTCATTCATGGTTCCAAAATAATCGTCATTTTTAATCATCACCATCATCATCAAAGATCCACATCTGGCATGATGATGATAAAGTTGATGACAAGATATCTTTTGATTGGTCTAAATAATGATAATAAAAAAAAACTTTCTTAAATGATGATGATCATCATCATGACTATTACACACACACACACACCGAATTGATTTCAATGATTTTCGATGATGATGACGACCTATTCGCTAACGGAGAGATTCATTCTCACAACACAATCAATTAATGACCATGTTCAGCTGGATTCATTTTCAATGAAAAAAAAACGAAGATGAAGATGACGATGATGACCAATCTCATCTATATATCCAATGATTATTATCATCATTTTTACCAATTTTTCTGGATGTGTGTGTGTGTGTTCGTGTGTTCAAGTTTGTATCTATTTTGACGATGATGATGATGATGATGATGTTCTATGTAACAATTTAATGTTCAGGTCATTCAGGTCATGTATGCATCAGTCATCAATATATATGGTGGTGATATGTTTTAATGTATAAATCCACCATGTGTGTGTGTGTGAATGTAAAAGGCGCGTAAATAAGAGAAGAAAAAAACCCCTTCAAGCTATAAGACAATTTTATCATCAAAAAAATACTTTTTATATATATATATACATTATATAAGATTTGAAATGAATTTCCTTCTATTTTCAGCCACTGTATTTGAATCTGTTTGTGTGTGTGTGTGTGTGTGTGTTTATTATTCCACTCGTTCAAAATGTTTGGAATTATTTATCCAGTTCAATTCAAAGTTATAAAAATTGTGATTAAAGAAAAAAAAACAATCGCTTATTATCTCTCTCTCTCTCTTTTTCTCATTTTCTTTGTCAATAAAATACGTCCGAATTACATTATACAAATGATCAGGTGATCATTTGTTGTTATTATTAAAGTATCGATCACATGTGATCACTATTACTACTACTACTAATAATAATAATAATAATACCTAAAGGCTTAATGGTTAAAACCATGTTTTAAACAAAAAAAGAAAACGATAAGTATTGTCCCGATCCAATCATTATCATGATGATGATGATGATAGTGTATTGAATTCGATTAGTGAAGAAAAACGATAGAAATGAACAAGTAAAAAAAACATTCGTACCGATTAATCATTAATCCGACAAAATGGAACAAATTATTATTGTAAAAGTCAGGAAAAGAAAAATACTTGTAGAGTATAGTGATGATGATCCACATAATAATGGTAATCCTATCCATAGCTTCTCATTCTTCTTTTTTTTACCGTTTCATCATCATCATCATCATCGTTCTCTTCAATTTTTTTTTCTTCGTTGTTGTTCATCGATATCATCAAATGATTATACAAGTGAACAACATACACACACACACACACACACACAAATCGTGTCATAAATGTCATTAATTTAAAGATTAAATAGCCGGATAATAAAAGAGTGTGGTAGAGAGCAAATAAATGAAGAAGAAAAAAATTTTTTTTTTTTTTTTTAGTAGAAAAATATGAAGCCATAGAATTATATTTAAACGTTGCCCTCAATTCTTTAATCGATCATTAATCAATTCGAAGTGAGAGAGAGAGAGAGAGAGAGATGAAGAAAGGTGAAACTTTTTGATTTTTTTTTTTGTCCACTGAACAACGGGAATAAAAATAATGATGATGATGATGACATTTTCATAAATATCATTTGATGGCAATGATATTACTACCAACACATACACATTTTTTTTAAGTTTTCGTAAAAAAAAAAAAAATTTTTTTTTTTTCACCAACTTTATATTTGTCTAAATACTTAGGGGTAAACCTGAATGAAGAATGTTTCACTGACATAATGATGAATGTATTATTATTCAATAAAATAAAATAGAAAAAAAATACATTGCTGATCAATAATGATCATCATCATTTAACGGATTTGTCACATCATCATCATCATATTGTTTTGTCCCTATAATTATGATGACCTACATATATTGCACCTGTTGCGTATCTCCATCAAGGGTAGTGAATCTGAAAAAAATTTTTTTTTTTTTTCCTTCATATTTACAAATCGGATTGAACCAATGAACAACACAATAGGAAAATAAATTTATAGAAAAAAAAGAAATAAGAATTTATTATAAATTTTTTTTTTCTTTGCGACAAAATTACAAAATTCAATGATAAAAAAAAAAAATAATAATAATAATGATGATTGAGTGAAGAAGTTACACATACACACACACAAGACACTTTGACTTTGTTATTATCATTTTTTTTTGTTTTGTTTAGGAATCATTTGTATGTATGTATGTAAAAACCATGCATTGATTGATTGATTCTGTACAGAATATTTTTCTCCAACGATTGAAAAATAATAATAATAATAATTGAAAGTGGAAAAAAAAATTCCAGATTGTCCAGGAACCATTCATTCATTCATTCATTCATTTTTTTGTCTCCTGGACACATCATGTTTCCACGGAATATATCAATATTTGGGTATGTATGGATTGGTGTGGATGGACGGATGGATGGTAATTATAAATATCTGTATAAAAAATTTAACATATGATAAGAAAAACATTTCATCATTTATATATATGGATGAATGAATGAAAAAAAATGATATATTGGTAATTAGCAAAAAAATAATAAATTCTGGACAATTCTGGAAATGAAAAATTGTTGTTATGATCATGCATGTATGATGAATGAAATGAAAACATATCTATGGTAAGGAATTCATGTTGTTGTTGTTGATGATGATGATGATGATGATATGATAATAGTAACTATTTTCAATCATTGAAAAAAAAATAATGGTTTGTGATTTGTGATGAACGTGGTTTTAATTACAATTTATTTTTTAAATGTGTAAATGAGGTTTGTGTGTGTGTGATTAATGGATAGAGAAACAACACTTTTTTGACTATTGTGATTGACACACTGTTCCAATATTTCTGTGTGTGTGTGTGTGTATGTGTGTGTTTTGTATAAATATTACATTATTATGAACGGTGGGAATCCAATAAATCATTTTTTTTTTGTTACTAATAATAATGTTATACAAAGAAAAAAAAATGAGCGAGAAAATCAATGATAATGATAATGATGATGATAATGACAAGAACATATCAATAGAGAGCTATAGAGAGAGAGGTATTTGAGAATTGGAAGATGAATATTCTTGGAAATTTTGGTCCCCAAAAAATGGTCAATATCGTTGTTGTTGGTATTCAGATTTATTTTTTTTTTATTTTTCCTCAAAAAAACTTTTCAATGATCCATATGATGATGATGATGATGTTTGGATGTTGAAAGACATTTGTTTGCTATCTTTGTGGATTGATTCTTTCGATTTCATGTTTTTTGTTGTTGTTGTTGTTGTTGTTGTTGTGGATGGAAAAAAAATTGTTCAAAATAAATAAAGAAAAAAAAATATTCAAATGATGATGGAATGAATGAAAATTACAATGTTTTTTGTTGTTGTTGTTGTATTACAAATGTCAATGAGAGAAATGAATGAATAAATGGAACAATAATAATAATAATAATAATAAAATGAAATGAAAATGAATAGAAAAAAAAATAAACAAAAGAAAGAATCGAGCCACATCAACAGTAAACAGAAAAACAAAACAAAAAAAAAAAATAAAAAAAAATGTAAATTATAACCAGCCTACACACACACACACACACACACACACACAAACACATCATTGAATGTTATTAATGATGGATTCCATTATTCCATCCATTTGTTGATTATTATGGCCAAATATGGTTCACACACACACACATTGAATACACATCTCAAAATTTGAATTATAAAGAAAAAAATGGTTCCAAAAAAAAACAACAACTTGATGAAATCATCATCATCATAATCTATATATGGATTCTATTCTATAAAACACATCATCATCATCATCATATTATCAAGCTATATAATATAACAAAGAATAAAAAAAAATTCTGTCATTTTGATCCGAATAATAATAATAATTAAAAAAAATAAAAATGGACAACAAGTGAGAATAATGTTTTTTTTTACACATTATATAAGCGGAAATATTATATTATTATTATGATGTGTAGTGATTTGAAGTAGTAGTAGTAGTAGAAATTCCGTAGAATAATAAAAAAAAGATTTGTGTGTGTGTGTGTGGGTGTATGTGGAATTTTATAAACCAATCATTAATCAAAAAAAAAAATTTACAGGAAAAAATATAAATTTGAGGAATTTCTTTTTCTTGAAACAAAAGAGATTCATTTGGTCAAATTGTTTTTGTTTTGACAATATGTCAAGCACTATGCGATGATGATGAGGCAGGACTACTATGATTTTCTAGATTTGTTGGAACATTAGATGAATCAATTGTTGTTGAATCTTTTTCATCGATCATCATTGATGATGGTGGTGATGATGGCGATGATGTATCACCATTCGATTTATTATTCATTTGTTCATTATTGTTTTTATGATTGAGATGTTGATGATGGTTATGATGATTATCACCATCATCAACATCATTGGCTGTTGTTGATGATTCTAATTTCATCATTGGTTCATCATTATTCGCTGACATTGTATCACCATCTGGTAGATCAGCATCGGTTGTAACTGATCCATCCATCTCTAAATCATCATTACCATAATCATCCATATCATCACCACCGATAGCATCATTTGTATTATCATTATCCATTTCGGATTCACTTTTATTTGATTTTTCACTTGCATCACTCGAACCTTTTGATGAATGTCCCGATTTACGATTAGCAAAATTTGCTATCGATACATATGATTGTAATGCTGCAGCTTCCGCTGAACCTGGTGATGTGCCTGATCCCATTGGCATATTAGCAACAGCAGTTCGTACCTTTGCACTAGCTAATGCAGCTAATTGTCTATTGATTTCGGCCAATGCTGGTGTATTACGCATCTGATGTATGTCACGATAATGTTTCATTAATGATTTTCGCCACGTATATTCTTTATTGCATATATTACAGATATAAATCTGTTCTTCACGATTTGAATGGAAATAATCCATATGTTCTTTCAATGTTTGTTTATTACCATAGTATTTATTACAAATGTCACATTTCCATTTACTTCCAACCCAACTGCCGCCCGAAGCGGCTGCTGCACTACTTCCACCTCCACCACCGCCCGAAGCGGATGCAGATGATGTAGATGATGATGGTGATGATGCGGAAGGATGATTTGGTCCAGGAGGCGTTGTTTTTATTGATGGTGAAAATGAAGAGAATAATTGTGATTTTTCACTAGACGGTACACTTGATGAACGAACACTATTATTATGTTTTTTCGGTGGTACAATATCAACTGTTGTACCAGCTGGTGATGATGATGATGGTGGATTGGAATTATGATGATGCATCAATGGTGATGATGGCTTAATCGATACATCAATACTATTGTTAAGAGCAACGGAAACTGCATTTGAATTCGGTAATTTCATTCGTTTATTATTTTCATTATTCATTCGATTATTATCATTTCCACTTGTGGAACCTGTTGAATATGGTGGTTTAAATGTACGTCGTCTTTTCTGTTGTGATGAAGATGATTGTGATGATGATGATTGTGGCTGTGTTTGTTGTAAGGGTGATGGTGATTGATCATTATAATCAGAAAATGATGGTATAATTGTTGGATCAGCTTCAACTTCAATCATACATGGTACTTGTGGAGCAAACGGTGATGGAACAATCGATCCGAATGGTAATGATTGTTGTTTGGAATCTATACTTGTCGTTGACATATTATCACCTATCGTACTATTGCAATCATTTGAACTATCATCTTTAATAATTAAACGTTTATCATCATCATTTTCATCAAGATCGTCATCATCGTCTTCTTCAGAATTTAGATTTAAAAATGTATTATATAATGCAGCTGCTGATGTACCTTGTGGTAGCATTTGATCTAAACTTGATGCAAGTGCTAATGCAGCTTGTGCTGAATGTATGTTGGTTGGAAATTTTTGTTTACGTCTACTACCACCACCGGATGATGAAATTGAAGAATTTGATGAATCAAAACGATTATTTACTGAAGGTGGTGGTGGTGGTGGCGGTGGAACAATATTATTATTGAATAAAGCAAATGCAGCCGCCGCCGCTGCTGCTTGACCATTATTATAGATACTTTTCGGTGTACTACTTTGATGTGCTGGCGTTAGATTAGCTGTTGTTGAGCCTAATATCGATGATTCATTACGTAATGATGGTGACTGATCCCGTTGTTGTTTATTACCGCTTGTTGGTACGACTAAATTATTTCGATATTGACTTAATAATAATTGATTGCTCATTCCATTTAGAAATTTATTTATATGATGATTATGATGTTGTTGTTGATGATGATGATGATTACCATTCGGTAATGATGATGAACTTTGATTATGATTGTGATGATGATTATTATGATGGTTACTATTATTTCTATGTTCATAATGATGAGAATGATGATGATGATTATGGTGATTCGGTGTAACGGTCGGTGTGGTCATCGCTTTCAATGATGCTAATGATGAATTCATCATTGTTGGTGGTGATGGTGGTGGTGAATTAACACCAACTGTATGTCCATTCAACAGGTTAGCGGCAGCAGCAGCAGCGGCAGCTGCGGCCGATGTTTTTATTGAAAAGCCATTATTTTTGGCATTATTAGTACCGGTGGTGGTTGTGTTTGCTGATGGTGGTGCACCGGAAATCACTTCAATACCACTATCACTGATAGAATCTTCATTATTTGTTGTCGAGGTTGTTGTTGTTGTTGTACCATTATTATTGAATACAATGTTCACATTGGAGAGACCTTTTATATTGAGCAAACGTGCAGAACGAAGAAATGATTCAATAGAATCGACTTTCACTTCAACATGACCATCATATATAAATCTTAATATAGCTTCCATGTCGGTCATTTTAATTTCCGTTGGTAATATCATGACTGTATTACAATTATTACAACCACCACTACCGGTACCACCATTACCGGAACCGCCTAAAGAAATAATATCGTTGTTATTATTGTAAAATGAACTTAATGCATCACGAATATAAAGAGAGGCGGCTGCCATCACAACACGATGACATTTGAACATTCTTCCCGGACAACAGATGACCAAATCGGTGAATAGACCATTGGCCAATAATGAACTTAATGATTCAAATGATTCTAGATCATTTCCTTTACGAAAACTAACAGTTTTTTCGCCATTATTTTGATCAGTGTTTGATTTATTTGTTGATCCCATCATTGATGATGATGATGATGATGATTGTAATGATGGCAGATGTCTTGATTTGGATGTTGTTGTCATGGATGAAGATGATAATGATCCAATACCACCACCAATACCATTACATAATGAATTTTTATTGGATGATCCTGTTGAGCATGAAATTTGCTGCTCAAATGCAGCAGAAAATTTGGACTCCAATGAAGTTTCCATTTGTGGCGCTGTTAATGACGATGTATGCATTTGGAATCGTTTTGTTTTCTAATATATTAAATATAGAAAGTGTGTGTATGTATGTATGTATGTATGTATTTGTTGATTTGGAAGATTATTCGTGATTAATAATAATAATAATAATATAATCACTAAATTGATTGGAATTGATGAGGAAGATGGTGATGATAAAAATTGGACCCACAATTGAATAATGGTGATTTCGAATTACATTTACACACAAACATACAAAGAATCAATTATTCGGTTATAACCTACAATGAAAATTGAAGAAAAGAATAAAAGAAAAAAAAATTAATTGAAATAAATTTATAAAATGCGGAAATTGAATTAAATTTCATTAAAAGTAGAATACAAATGTGTAATACAGAATAAAATTCTACATCCATTCAATCCATTTCATTAAAATCAATTATTAGCCATCAATCAACAAATGACAATGTTTAATTTTCTTCCCCCTCCCCTCCCATCCACATCCAATATTCCAAATGCAGAATATTAATTTGAATGAACATTTTATGGCCTTCATTTGATTCATCTTTGTCATCAACATTTATACGAAATTTTCCCATTTAAAATACAATGGCGCCATTATGCATACATACATATATGAAATACGGTCATCACAATCATCATCAATAGAAGTGCAAGAATGGGAATATACAAATATTAGAAAAAAAACGGGCCAAATTTTTTTTTTTAAATGAGCGCCTCCTATTTGGCCATGAGTACAATGCACCACACACACACACATTTATAAGGACAAACAAATATCAAACATTAACGATCATCATCATCATCATCATCATTTTATATTTATATGAATCTTTCTTTTGGTCGAAAAAAAATAAAATAAAAATGAAAAAAAAGAGAAAAAAAAGAAGAAAAATACGAACATGTAGAAAAAAAAAGAATCGATTATTAGTCAAAGGAGGAAAAATGAATGATGATTTCGAATGGTGGTGGTGGTGGTGGTGATGGTGATGGTGGTTTGATGACAAAAGACAAATATGTATAAAAAGAACTATATGTGAATGTGATGATGATGAGCTTTATTTATTGGTTTATTTAAAAAAAAAAAAAAAATGAAAATGGCAAAATCTTTCCATTACTGCCTGTTGCTGTTGCTGCTGAATTTCAATACATCCTTATCATTTCATTCATTATTGTTGTTTTTTTTATCCAAGAATTTTTTTTTAGCAATTCTTTTTCAATTCACATTTATTTCCAATGAATTTAAACAATTTCATGGAAAAAAAACATATGATTGCGAATTATTACAACTATATAGATAAAATCAAAACCGTTAAAACACGAGAGAGAGAAAGAGAGAAAAAACGGGCCAATATAAAATATTTATCGTGTTGCCTAGAAATTTGTCATTATATGATTCGGGGAAGCAAAAAAAAAAAAAAAAACAATTCATATAACAAGAATAACATACCTGTTGATTGATTGATTAATGTTCAACACAACAACAAAATACCAGTAAAAAAAAGAGAGAAAAATTCATTGGATTTTCATGTGATAAAAAGAATGAAATGAATCTCTAATGAGTTGAGAGTTGGCCCATCAACACCAAAAAAAAACAATTTTTACACACATGAATCGCACTTGTAAATGGTTATACAAATATATACTGTATTCACCTGAATATGATGATAGAGAAGGGGGAGGAAAACAAAATACAAAAAAGTGCTAAGTAAACGAATATTATTTTTTTCATACTTTTTTTTCTTCCTCATTTCATCATTCCTGTGTGTGTGTGTTAACAAAATTGGTCAAACGAATAAGAATCTAACAATTATGATGATGATGATGATGCCGGTGATGATGACGATGAAGAAACAACAACAAAAAAGGCAAACAAAAGAGCTACACAAATAATAAATGGGAAAAGAGAAAAAATTCAAATTCATCGAATTTCTCTCTATATCGTTTGTTAGATGAATGTGTGAGAACGCATTCAATTTTTTTTTGTGTGTGTTTTGTTGATCATCAAATATAGAATGTTCGATTTGTCATCACCATCATCAACGATAACATTTGACGAATTGAATTTGTAATCAATCATCATAATCAAAGTTCAGAACCGCAAAAAAAATGATATGAAATTTGAGTCATCAGAAAAAAAAGGCAAATGAGAAAGAAAACAGATAGATAAAGAAAAAAAAAAAAAATATCGAGAACATTCAAAAGCAAAGTAAGAATTTTCCATTTTTTTTTAATTTCTGATCAACACACACACACATTACATAGCACAAACACAAGTTGATGAAAATTCGATTATCAATGAACCACATGATGATGATAAGAGAGACTAAAAATACTACTACCACCACCACCACACCACAACCACACATGCACACACACACACAAAAAAATTCAAAAAGAAAAGCTTACACAATTGCAAATATTAGAAACGAAGACCTTTGAATTCTTTCATTCTTTTTTTTCCACCCAACCCCCACTACCTCCCAAAATCCTACTCAACTCCTCATTTTCATTTTTTTTCCAAAATCTAAAAATTGATTTTTTTTTTTTTTCATTCGAATTGAAAATCATTTTTTTTCAAAGTAAATAAAAAAAGAAATGTTTTTCTCTCTCTCTGTGTGTGTGTGATATGGATTTTTTTTCATTTTCAATTGATAATAATAATCGAATGTGGATGATGGATATCGATAATTTTTGGTTTTTAGATTTGGATGGTATGGCTCATGGTTTATTATCAATGATGATGGATGATGATGGTGTGATTATCTTTTCTCTATATCAATATTCAAGAACTTTGACTAAATTTGATGATAATTCCATCATAAAAAGTTTTTTTTTTTGGATAACCAGAAAATTATTATTATCATCATCATTTGATTAATATATCATTCTTTTCAATTTTTTTTTTTTTTTTTTGTTGTCGTTGTCATCGTATCAAACAATTTGGATGATGATAAACAATCATCGACCATTTATTATCAGAAATAGAGAGAGAAAAAAATTTCTAGAATCCTTCTTTTTTAAGCTTTTAGGGAATAATAAATTTATATACTAGATTATTATCGAGCGTCATAATCATTTTTTTTGTACAGTTAAGTTACATTTTTTACTTTTTTTCACTCGTGATACATACACACACACACACACACACACTTTTTTTTCACTCGTGATACATACACACACACACACACATAGAAATTGAACATTTATTCAATCAAATCATGGATTTTTTTTTTTTTTGCTGTCGTTCAATAGATAGAGATAGGAATTTGAATTACGAAAATAAAATTTAAAAAAAAAATCTAGGCCAATGGAATTTTCAAATGATGAAAATCGATTGAATTGAAATCGGTTTGAATTGTTGCTGCTGTTGTTGTTGTTGTTGTAATTTAGAAAATTTTTTTGGATTCAACAAAACAAAACAAAACGACAAACAATAACAAACACACAGAGAGGCAGTAATATGATTATTTTTTTTTTCTTTTGAAAGTTCAATCAAATGAAAAAAAACAAAGCAAAAACCGACACACATTATGGAATGGAATGAGATGGAGGACACACAACGACAACAGCAATAATAATAACGATTGTGAAATTCCAGATCAATCGTGTGCAATATTGAATTTCAATTTTTCTTGAATATTACGACCTACACACACACTGACATGCCATAAATATAAGGACAACTTGGAATTTTGAAAAGATCAAAAAAGTAAAAAAAAACGCACCATTAAATATAATGTACATGCACACACACACACACAAAGTGTGGTGATTATTTTTTTTCGGTCATAGAATATTCACAATAATAATCAATTTAAAGTTTCAACAAGTTATTATTCTTTTTTTCGTATTTGTTCAAATTTCAATCACATGAAAAAGATATTGGAAGAAAAATGAATGGACGGAATGAATGGAATGTGAGTTGCATTTCAAACATACACACACACACACACACACATTGAGGCACACAATACATATACACGTTGTGATGATGAAATTATTCAGGATAGAATCATAATATAGAAAAATATTTGATATGATGATGATGATGATGAACACATCAAGAAAAATTAAAATTTGATTACAAACAAGGCACTTTTATTTGCAAAAAAAAAGTTTTAAATACACACACACATACACATCACATTCTTGATTTTGTTCGATTCGAACATCAATTAGTCATGTTGATGATGATGATGATGATGATGCTGGAATAACATTCGAATTTTTTTTTTGATTTCGTTTGTTCTTGCATGAAATATGGAATGTACACAAACATACACAATGAAATGGAAGAAAACAAAGTTCATATGTTGAAGGTTGTTGTTGTCATCAATTGTAATGATGATGATGATGACGATTGTTTAAAAATTCATTGATGGCAGAATTTTGAATTTTTTTTTGTTTGAAAAGAAAAAAAATTTGAAAAAACGTGCGTGGAATAAGTGAGTGGAATTTCGTTTCAATTGGTTTCGACTGATTTTTGGATATAAATTTGGAATTTTAGAATTCATAATCTTTGGAATGATTAATATGTGAAAGGTGTTGTTGTTGTTGTTGTTGTTGTTGTTATTGGAAATGAATTTTTTGGCGTACAAGATGATGACAAAAAAAAATTCGAAAATTCCAAAAAACAAAACAAAACAAAAAAAAATTAGGAAAAAGAATTTCAATTTTTTTTTATTTCTCTTATTACAAATTCATATAGCCGGTCACATTATATTCATGTATGGACAAACAAAACGAAAAAAAAATCTACAGATATATTTGCGGCATGAATGCCTGTCGTCGAATGATTATGATTATGATTATGATGATGATGATGATGATGTGATGAGGATTGGGAAGAAAAAAAAAGAAATCCATTTAAAACACACACTTGTACAGAACTTTGAAACACTAAACTAATGATGATGAAAAAAAAATTAAAAAAAAAAAAAAAAAAATTTCAAAAAGAACTCAATCACTGGTATGTATATATTATTGGACTATGTATGTCTGTTTGTTGTTTTGTTGTGTTTGTGTGTTGTGTTGTGCGCGCGAATGAACCATCATCCGCAACAGTAACGGAATGAGAGATTGTTGCACGATGTGAATGTTGATTATATTTGTGTGGTAGTTGCTGCTTGAATAGAAACTGAGCTTTTTTTTTTCTTCTTCTTCTTCTTCTTCTTGTGATATTGTGAGGGAGGGAGGGAGTGAATGATGAGTGTGTGAGTCCAGAAACGAATTTTTTATTTATAAGAGAAACAAAAAGAGATTCGTGAAGAACTATCGCAAAAAAAAAAAAAATGGTAGTAGTACATATTTATATTGCACTGAATGCACATGCGTAAAATATGTTTATCTATTCCAAGCAACATGTAGCATTCAAAAAGAGTGAGAGAGAGAGAGAGAGAGCGATTAATGGGAAAACAAGAAAGATAGACAGATGAGGAGGATGAATGAAGGAATTATTTTACAGAGATGGATCAAAAGATATATAATTCATTCATTCATTCATTCGTTTTTTTTTTGGGTATCCGTACACGACGACGACGATATATATTTTATAACTAACTAACTGATGTGGTGTGGTATTTTTTTTTTTTTTCGTTATAATATTTGGCTACATATAAACAACGGTGCATTGGCTGCATTTTATGTTGATTTGACGGTGTGTGTGTGTGTGTATTGGCGACAAGAATAGTAAGCCTGTTGGTATCATTTATGAGTACATAAAATGAAAAAAGAGTGATGGAGGGAAGAGAAGAAGAAGAAAAAAAAAATCCATAACACCAGCCAGTACCAGCACCAGTAAAACTATCATCATCATCATCATCATCAACAACGACGACCAAAATCAACCAACCACTTTATTTTATAAATGTGGAGAAAAAAAAAGAGAGAACAAGAAGAAGAAGAAGAAGGAATGCAATGGAATGGGAATGGGAATAGAATAGAATGGAATAGGAAAAAAAAGCTCAAAAGTCAACAAGTTGTTGGCAACATCTCTCTCTCTCTCTCTCTCTGTTTTTGTTGTTTCTGTTGTTGTCAAAAAAGATCCTGCAGCTCTTTTCTTTTTCCACATTTTATTCCATTTACTCCCCAGTCATTTTTTTTCTCTCTATTCTTTCATTTCATTTGACATAATAATCATTATTTATATTATATTTTTTTTTTGGGGGGGGACCTGAATATTCATCATTTGGAATATTTGTACAAAAGCAACAGGTCAGATTTATTTAGCACATGCACACACACACACACAATCGACAAACATGGGCAGGTCATCGATTCTACACAACAACAACAATAAAAAAAAAAAAAAAAAAAACAAATGGCCACTACTGTATGATATTACAGAATTTTTTTTTGTTTAGAAAAAAAACAGCAAACGAATCGAAAAATTCGTAAATCATGTTTTTTTGTTTTCATATCAAAACTTGTTTTTTTCTGCTTCTTCTTCTTCTTCTTCTTGATGGTATCCTATCCTTTTGTTCAATTTTTTTTTCAAAAAAAGCAATATTACACACACACACACACACTGTGAAAATATTCCGAAATGCAATACGTAGATTCCCAGAATAATAATAATATTCGCTCAATCATTCAATTCAAGGCGGTGGTTCTGTATATATGTTCTATGTTTGTGTGTGTGTGTGAATATAGACGACGTATATTTTTTTTTTTTTTACAGAGTGAAAGAAAATCAAGCAAACAAATGAACAAACGAACGACCGACAACAAATTGTTGGTTCACACTATTACCAGCTATAGCTAGCTATAGCTAATATAGCTAGATTATTATTCGAAAATTTGTATTTCATTCACGAATAAAATAAATTCAGTAATTTTTTTTTGCCAGGAAGGTGGAATGGCTGTTTTGATGATGATGATGATGGTGGTGGTGGGTGGTAATGCGGGGGGTCTGTATTTTTCAAATGAATTTATTCCTCCTTCGTTTGATCATCATCAAAAACATTTTCCTGTCTCTTTTTTCATCCTCCGTTTCTTTTGAAAAAAACATACAGAACTTAAAAGTAGTGGTAGATAACAATGAGAATAAACTGGACAAATTAACTGAAAAAAAAATTATAGAAACAAGTCAGCAACCATCATTCATTTATCTAATGACAAAATCATTCAAGAATTTCAAATTCAAATAAAACATGCGCATTTGTTTCGGAATTTTAAATGTTTGAATTCGAATGTTTTTTTTCATCATAATGATCAATGATGACGGCCATGATGATGACGATGATCATATGAGTGTATTTTAACCTGAATTTTTTTTTCATTTAAAAAATTCACTTTAGAATCAAAAAAAAAAAAAAAAAATTAAAATTCCAATTACATTGCAGCCACATGTTGACATAATTAAAGAATGTTGAATATTTTCCCATAAATTCAACAACAACAACAACAACAACAACCACTAGCACTCTGTGCAATCCTTTTATCTTGAATCATCGAATCGTCGAAGAAGAAAATTAAAAATAGCTTTGAAACCGTTTTTTTTTATTTGTTTCATTTCTGAAAAAAAAAACAACTCAAACATTCATTTGGACGATGAAGAGAACCATTATCATCACTTTTTTTTCTGAAATGATAAAGAGAGAATAAATTGAATTGAAATGAATGAATTGAATTGAATGAATTTGCTTGACAAGCAACAAGTGGGAATTTAATTCGTCATCAAAAAAAAAAAAAATACCGATTCAATTCAACAGTGACTACTATATACAATAACAACAAAAACCAATCACTTTTCATTTGGCTGAATACTGCCAATATTACCTGCGCCTTGTATGTTGTTACATTCTTCAATAATAATCATTAAATTCATCATTCTCCATGGTATTTTTTTTTATTTTATTTTCATTCGTTCATTCGTTCATTTTATCAATCAACAAGAAGAAGAACAAGAATCGCAATAAACAGCAAACAATTTTTTTTTCGATATAAACAGAAATGCAATAGAGAGAGAAAAAAAAATGAAGAGAATGGAGAGAAACACACAGCAATGAATGTGACTTTTGATTACTGTGTGTGTGTGTGTGTATGTTTACTGTGAGAATGGCGTTTATTTTTAGGGCGTCATACCATTTTTGGCTTTTGATATATTGATGTGTGGTATATATACATTGAACAATATCAAATATCATCATCATCATCATCAACAACAGCAACATTCAACAATAGAATTCTGTATGTTGCAATAGTCAATGTGTATGTGTGTGTGTGTGTGTGTGTGTGTGTGTTTATGGATTCAATATTTGATTATTATTGTGAGACATTTATAATAATAATAAACATTATTATTATTATTCGTTGTCGACGACATTTTATTATTTATTATTATTAAATGTTAAGTATAGGAATACAACAACAAGTTGTATAAGCAACAAGTGGTTGAACGTGAGTTCTGGTTGTCATTTATTATCACATGATGTGTATAGAATGTTATTGTATACATAGAATGGAGGGCGCTAGAATCGGAATCAATGAGAAAAGAAAAAAAAAATTTTTTTTTCTTTTTTTTTGTAGCCAATGTTCTGTATATATATTTACAGAAAATAAGAACCATGAAAAAAAAGAGAAAAAAAATTCGAGAGGGAGGGAGAACAAGTAATGTTGACCTCAATCATCACATTCTATACAGAAGAAGAACAAGAAGAAGAAGAAGAAAAAAAAAAAGAAAAAAATGAGAACACAAGTAAATGGCAGATGGTTATTATTACAATCATCATTCGCCATGTTGGCGACTTGTTGATTTTAACTT